CGCCTAACATAAAACTCTGATCTAGGGTGCTTTTAGGAAATGACTTAGGAGGACGATCTTTGCTAACTTTATTTAGATTTATATTGCTTTTAACTTTTAGGCACTTCCAGTTTTTTTGGGTGAGGGATTCGTGTAAAATTTATCCAAAAGGGTATTATGAATGAAAAAAAAAAGAAACTATTTTAACTTACTTATTTTATAATCGTCCAGTCAAGCGCTTTTTTAAATTCTCATGTTATGTTTTATTTTACGATGATAATTTATAATGAATACCTAAAAAAAAAAACAAATTATTCACTACACTTTATATCTTTAACGGATAATCTTTGTTTAATTGAATTGGAAATAAAAAAAATGGTTATTGTTATTCCAAAAAAAAAAAAAAAAAAAGAAATTATTAATTGTTTTTATATTATTTTACTGAATAAATTTATGCTTTTATACTGTTTAATTCACAATTCGAAGATTAAATTTTTGTCCATTATTAGGGAAACCATATTATATTATTTATAAAATCGCGCCATTTTTTTAAAATTCCACTTGCGACTTGGTTATCATTTACCAAATTTGGATAGTCAAAAACTAAAAATATGAACATCATAATTTGTTCATTCATAAGGAGCGATGACATAATTAGAAGATAATTCTAATATATATATAAAAAGCGCATTTTTTTTTTCCTTTTTACGAAAATAAAAGATGTTCGTTTTAAAAAACCAAAAGAATGTTTGAACCAAATGAATTTTTATTGGTAGATCCATCTGGATCACCACGAAAAGCAATTTTGTTGGTCGAACCTAATGAACGAAAGGTAGATGCAAAATCTCAGCAAAACTATGATCCGAAATATACACCAGAACAAGCTTCAAATATGCAAACTCAAGTGGCAGCACGAATCAATACGACGGGACAACCCACTCAACAAATTTCTATTCAAGCTCCAGCGAACATGACTTCGATAAAGTTGGAAGTTCCTAGCGCTAATCCCAATGTACAAGAAGCCAATGATTTAGTGGTAACGCAGGCTCAAGTAGCGGCACAACGTGAAGCTTTACAGGAAATATCACAAATAGCATCCACGCAACCGCCGAATCAGATCCTTTTCAATGCAAGTCAACCATCCGCACCCGATATTTCAGCTCAAATTCCTACGTCTGGACTTAAAGAAGTCGTCAACCCGACTAGCGAAGTTGTACAAGCCAGGATCTTTCCAGCATGTAGTGACGCATCGGACGGAAGAAGTGTGCCATTTAACGTTACTCGTGGTGATGCAGAACCAGGGGGCATTGTATTGAAAGAATATGGACCGTCTAGAATGGATACAGATTGACGAATCGAAATGGTTTACATAACTCGTGGGATTACAATTAAATTTGAATGAGAGCAAATAAAGGAAAAGTTTAATATATGCGGGATCATGTACACTTGAAATCCATTGAAAAAAAAAATAAATAATTACCAATCTCCGATGTACATGCATATAAACTTCATATGGATTAAACGATTCCATAACTTCATCGCAATTGAATTTCGAATAGAAATGAAAGCGAAAAAAAATTAATTAGAAAAAAAACTTTGGACGGTATTTTTTTTTTTTTTTTAAATTAAAAATTTCAAAGAATAAATAAATAAAAATTCAGCATTCACTTTTGAATTTTCGTAATACTTGGTGTTTTAAATTATGTACCTATATATTTAAGACATTTTATTTTGACAAGCTAGCTTAATTAATTCATGCATACAGGTACCCCATCCATACCGTAACTCGGGATCATTCTTTAAATATGACTTTGCTTACAGTTGCACAAATTACGCTTCGATTATTTACAGATTAAGGACCCGATCCCTATTTGTTTGGTTCTAACTCAAAAAGGTTAATTTTATGCAAATGTCCGAATATTTCAAGATTATAATAGAAAAATCGATCCAATTATGAAAGGATGTGTTACAATGAACTTGATATAATACTCGTTTTAAAAATAGAAAAAATAATGCAACACGTTGCTCTCAAAAAAACGAGATTCATTTTCTAAAAAAAAAAAATTAATTGTTTGTCGCATTTATCTATATCTCTATAATCAATCGGTTCTATTAGGTAAGTCCGAAAATTAATTGGGCTTAGCACTAAATATCAAAAAAATAAGACTTACCAAGATTAACAATAATATAAATTTTTTCCTAAAATAACAATTCAATTGGTGAATTAATTATTTTTTTTTCTTTCAAGCAAAAAATGACATCACATCATTTATCAATCAAAGATCAAAGTATTTATATGTATTAATGTATTAAAATCGCACTTTCATCAATATTTCAAGTCAAGAAAACGAATTGCGTTATACACATTATAGTCAAAACCGTACATTATCTCCGAGAATCAATCAATTGATGAAAAAAACTTCAAACGTAAGAATTTGATCCGCTGCAAAGTCCGTAATCTACAATGTTTTTCAAGCAGAGTCCCCTGATCAAGTTTGATCGCACAAAAAAGTTTTATTCGATTTTCCGTGTTCGTACCAAAAATTATAATTTTCATATTATAAACAGCTGTTTGAAATATTGCTAATCGAAGCTTTTTAGGGAGTACCTCGATCCTTTCATGTCTCGTATTATCCTTTCTATTAGAAACAATTTGATTGAAATTTTTTTTGCTAACCCTTTAATGGTCGCCCGTTGATCAATGTGCAAATATTTAAAATGAAGTATTAAAACCATCCTCGATTTTTTTTTTAAGATAATTCTTTTTTTTTTTAAGATCAAAAATTTTTATCATCTTTTTTTTTAAAGATCAAAAAATTATTATTATTTTTTTTTTTTTAAAGATCCAAGATTTTTATTATTATTTTTTTTTTTAAAGATCCAAAGATTTTTATTATTATTATTTTTTTTTTAATAAACATCAAATAAAAATCTCGTAAACTTTTCATATATATATTTATTTAAACACTAAACATGCTTACTTTTACCGACAATATCTCTCAAAGGATCCAAAGGCAACCCTCCAAGATTGTGATTACAATCGTTGGTGGTGGTAATTGCAGTCATATCATGGCCGGACTTTTCGGTTCTAACCCTAATTATGAGGTGCGACTTTTAACCCGACGTCCAAAGGAATGGAATTCCCAAATCACGGTGGAATTTAAGTTAAACAAACCCAAGGTTATTGGTAAAATTGCGAAAATTTCCAGTGATCCCTTGAAGGTAATTCCGGGATCCCAGTGGATTATCATTTCTTCTCCGGTTTCCGCCCATCTTGACATCTTACGTAATATCGCCCCTTTCGTATCTCCCGGCTCTTACCTCGGAACCATCTTTGCTCAAGGTGGTTTTCAATACAAAGTCAAACAAGCCTTCAACGAAGTTAGAAAGAATGTCAGCGACATTATCGTGTTTGGATGTCAGTACATTCCTTGGGCTTGTCGGACCAAAACTTACGGGAAATGTGCCGTTCTGTTAGGTCACAAACAGTATCTATTCGTGGCGAAATTACCAACAAAATGTCCGAAAGCTTCCAAGTTTTACGTCGAAATGAAACAACTGTTTTCTATCCCGGTGCGACCAATATCTAATTTCCTCTCGATTACCCTGACACCCTCAAATCAAATCATTCATCCGGCCAGAATGTTTGGATTGTTTGGTAAAGATTTCAAAGATGATAAGGACAACGACGTGTTATATAAACGGGAACCTTACTTTTATGGGGAATTGGATGATAGGTCGACAGATCTCATGCAACGTCAATCAAACGAGTTACAGGCGTTGAAGAACGAATCAATATCTCGTCACCCTGATTTGGACTTAAGCAGCGTCATGGATTTAAAAGAGAGGATCGTGGAGATGTATGCAGCGGAAGTTGGTGACACGTCTACCCTTCGAAGCACCATCCGTACCAACGTAGGATGGACTCAACTTAAATGTCCGATGGTTCCAATCTATTCATCAGATAAATTGGATTCATCGTCACCATCATGTCCGATCGAACCAAGAGACAAGTCAAAGGGTGTGATCTTGAAAGGTTACAAACCAGATTTCTCGACGAGATACATGTGGGATGACATACCTTACGGTTTGGTCGTGCTTCGATCCGTTGCTAGTTTACTCGACGTTGAAGTTCCATGCATTGATGAAGTTTTGTACTGGGGTCAAAGTGTTATGGGTAAAGAATATTTGGTCGATGGTGAATTGATCGGAAAAGATATTCATGAAACCGGTGCCGTATCTAACTTTGGCATTTTATCACCCGAAGAATTGTTTGAATGAATAAAAAATTTATTTTTATTAGTTAACTGCACTTACATGCACACAAAAAATTTTTTTTTTCATAACCAGCATTTTTTTATTTTTTTTTTTTTCAAGTGGTATATAGTGTGTGTTTTCCGCTAAAAAAAAATTACATATGGTTACAAAAAGTAAAAAGTATCTAATATAAATATTATTTTTATATTATAATTTCCAAATAAATAAAAAAAATAATAAATACATACTTTCCAAATTAATTATAAAAAGAGGACAAAATTATTGGTATTGTAATTTAGTTTAAGTATAAAGGAGATTGAAATGAAAGTCTACGACGTAAATTTTGTTAAATCTAAGATTTAAATTTTAAATGTCCTATAATTTATTTAGCTTTTTTATAAGCAATTTGTTCTATAATGTCATCACCAATTTTAACGTCTCATTACATAAGTCTCTAAATGTTAAATAACGTATAAACATCATTCCTAAAATAATAAAGGAAAAAGACACTACCGTAATTTTTTCTGGAATTATAGTAATAAAAATTTATTAATTTTTTAAGCTAAGCGAAGCGATCGTATGTGATAGGTGAGAAAGTTTGCGGCTTACCCTTAGGTTTCGATAGGTTAAACCGAAAACTATAAAACTATAATTAATCTTTAAAATCGGCAAAGTTTTTTTCGACTTGTACTATACTAATCTATGCTAAAATGAGTTTTACACCGCATAATAAAATTATGGTAAAAATTTATAAATATAAGGATAATTTTTAAGAATAATTTTTATATATAAAATATAACTTTGGACCGGTCCAAGGACTGACTGTAGGCCGGTCCAAAGATAGATGAAAGACCGGTCTTTTTGGACCGAACCGGACCGATCCAAACCTAAGCTAAGCCTAAATTGAATTAACTCAAATAGCTTGGCTTTATTTATGATTATTTCTAATTTTTGAATTTACTTTGAGAATTTATGCAAAAAGTTTTAATGATTATAAAGTTTAATAATGTAAAGAATTTTAATAAATATAAAAGACATTAATTATACAATATAATATGGAAGGTCTGCTAAGAAAATGGACTCTAAGACTAAAAACCCTTTTAGAGTATTTTTTATTTTTTTAAGTGTGATAGCTTTGCAAGTAATATATAAGATAAGAAAGAAAATACAAAATCTTCCTATCAAAAGAAAAGGAAACTGAACCATCCAGAGCGGGAATCCTGGTTGTTACATCAAATATTTATCCAGTTGTTACCATATCTAAATGAAGAAGTAAGTAAGAATGAAATATCTGGAAGGAAAAGTGTAAAATCTGTTAGTAACTGCATTTAGATTTTTTGTCAATAGGGTAATGTTGATGAATTCTTCTATTTATAATTAGTTTGCATATTTCTCTTCAAAATTTGCAAGTTGAAATGAAAATTTGAAAAAATATATTAGATAAAAGGGAATTAATTAAGGTTAAATCTAATAAGATCAAAAAATGATAATCATAATAATTCAGACCATTTTAATCCAATTTGTTTTACAAATCACTTTCAAAATCTCTATTCTAAAGCATTTTGATAATGATCAGTTAGACCTTACATGAAAAACTAATCATTAAAATTATCTATTCAGTAAAATTATGCTATTGATTTTCATAATTTACTTTCTTCTTATATCTATAATATAATATTAAAGCTAAAAACATAATTATAAATATTTTTAGTAATTAATATATTATATGAAACAAGAATTAGAGTTGTATAAATAAACCTTTCTTTCTAATATTCATATATTTTATTTAGAATTAATTCATTTCAAAGAGATTCTAATTCAGTGTTAAATAATAATTTATTTTATGCTAACTGACTTTACTTGACTCAAGTAAGAGGTCAAAAATTAGTAAGTTTTCATATTTAAATTAGAACTGTATATAGTATTAGTATTATTTATACTAATATATGTAATTTACAACATAATATCTATCATAAAGTTAAAACTAGTTCAGATTTAACATATATTTAAGGTGAGAATTAGCTGCTTTTACATATATAAACTTAAAATGAAATTTCAAAATTTAAATATTTTTACTTGAAAAGTCAAAATAAAAATAAAAATCAATATGATCAAAATCAATATTATCATATAAAATAATGTAGTGGTCTGTTATCTAACAATTTGAATTATTTGCTTCATTTTTATAATCTATAATAGATATGCACAGGTCGAACGCTGATAAATCGGGTACCTTTCTGATTAGTTACTATTTTTTGATTAGCAATCAATTGATAAAAATCAGTAAATTACAATCGGGTATGAATCAGTTAATACCATAATCATAATTATTAGGTAGAATTACATAAATTGGATTCCAGTCTGATTTTATACTTATTTTATTAAATTTATAACTATATGTTAAATAGTAACAAATCGTTTTCAATTAATAATTAGTTATCAATCAGTTTAATACCCGATTGATGATTATTATTCAATTATAATTTACCGATTGGTTTCTATATTAATAAATTTACCGATTGTTTCCAATTTATAAAATTATTCAATTTTACTGATTGTTTCAAATTTATTAATTTATTAAAGTAAACCGATTGTTACAAATTTATTTAATAAGATACAATTAAATTACAAATGAAATTGTCTATTAATTGGTATGACTGCCATATATTTTTTCAGTTTTTGTACACTAACTATAAATTCACTTGACACAAATCGACTATATATACTATGAACTAGGATGATACTATCTCTATCAATCTTATAGAATTATTAGTAAATGTGTGATATTAAATATTAAATATAAATAAATGACAACCTTGGTAAAACAAGTTCTGTCATCTGTATTGTACTCATGGCTTCTTCTACATTCATGTTAATCGATATATCACTAAATTCAGGTTCGTTGTAGTATTTACTGACTACTCTAATGCAATCTCTACTAGCTGTTAAATTTGTATAACTGTACCAAGATATATTTGTGTTGTTAATGATTATCTCCTCATTCAAGTCATTAACTAAATCAAAAAGATGTTTTAAGTTGTAATAAAATTGTTTAACGCTAACAAAATTTCAGTCGTTAAATCATTTTTTCTTTATAAACGTCAAAAAATTTATCAAAATTCTCCAGTAAGAACTTTCCTAATAAACCATTTAATGATGTTGTTTTTCGAGATTTCTTTTACTTTTGTTTTGATATAGGCATTTTAATGTCGATTTACGTTGAACCTATAATATATCTGATATTAAAATAAATGTAATTTAAAATAAAAAAAAAGTTATGCTTAACCGTGTTAATTATTTGTCCTATTACTTCACGTTTGTTGCTAATTCTGTATGGATTCTTAACATAATCTTTATGTAAATATTTGTAGGTTTCAGTTGTCAAGCCATTAATCAAACCATACTCCTCAATAGAGTCAATGATGTGATAAACCCAATTATGTAGTTTGGGTAACTTAAGTTTAGATCAGAAATATTGCTTGAACAATTTTATGAAAATTTTTGCCCAGTCTGTTATTATTTTCTATAATAAATAAATTATGCATTAATCTAACATCAGTAAATTTAATAGGACGTAATATTGCGTAAACTTACGTTCTGTAATATTACGAAAACTTACGAGACCGCC